ATAATACCTTATAAACCTAAAGTCTTGAGAAATGACCCAGAAAAAAATGTGGAGAACTATGATCCACTGAAGATTTTGGAATATTTCCTAATCATCCTTCTACATTGAGAGAATATCTAAGAACCTTTGCATTGATTTATTGAATAATTGGGGATCTCCAGAACACTATGGATACTCGCTTTGCTAGATTTTATTATGTTGTAGAATATCACCTTGTTTTTTTACAGAATGTTTACATAAATTGGTACTAGACCAGTACGGCATACCAGGTCCTTGAAATCGGAACAGCCGGTTTCAGTTGTTGAAAACGGATTTCATCGAACGTCATTCCTAATCTTGTTTGGCAACTCACTAGGTAAGCCGCCTTCAATCTGATCGATCCCTCTTGTTCGTTGCGCACATCTTCGTCTTGTTCCAGTCGGATCACTACCAAGAACCATTTTTCGACATTGTTACGATGTGCCCAGCCCACCGTAGTCACAAGATCTTTGCATTCGATCTAAATTTCTTAACTTACAAACCTGCTGATTCTTTTCTACAGTGATTCAACAATTAACGAGCTAAATCCAATCTTTTAAAAACTGGTTTAAAATTTTAAGAAGTGAGACCAAATCAGGAACGATTCAGGAAATTCCTAACTAAGGTGGCACTTTTCAAAGCAGATTCAAAACTGAGGCTGAACTTTTTTGAAGTGAGTTCAAACTTTCGAATAAGTCATCATCATTTTTCTAACTGAGTCTAAACTTTTCTGCTATGTTATTCAATCCTTTTTAAAGTTGTCAAAGCTTTCCTGAAGTGATTCAACATATGCCGAATCCAAGCTTTAAAGAATTGGTTTCGTATTTTCTGAAAAGAGGCAACATTAGTTGATTTAATCCCTTTCCTAAATGAATCCAAGGTTTCCTGCATTGATTCAACTTCCTCCGAACTGAATCCAAACTGAACGTGTTTGACATTTGCCCAAGATTTTTGTTAGCTGCTTTAACATTTGGCAAGGACACAATCTTGTTTAGGTCATCTAGCTTTCCTAAAAGTGTAGAAAGTTTTCCGAAGTTTTTTTTTTTTTTTTTTTTTTATTATAGTCACTTTAACGCTCTTGGGTCACTCGTGACTTGTCCGGGGGTGAGATTTGAACTCGTGACTTTGGCGTGAGAGGTATGGATGCTAACCACTACGCCGGGGTCGCCCCCGTTTTCCGAAGTGAACCGACACTTTTTTGAGGTTAAATTTTCCAAACGGAGTCCAACCTTTTCTGAAGTGGTTCAATACCTTCCTTAGGGAGTCCAAACTTTTCTGTTGAGTGATTGAATTATATTTAATGGTAGTCTGAGCTTTCCTGAAGTGATTTAACTAACTTTTAACGTAGATTCCGCTTCCTTAGACCCCCCCCCCCCTCGTTCTTGTGAGATTCACAAGTTTTGAAAATTAGGCTGGGATTTTCAAGAATGGACCTTTGTGTGTTCATACCTGATGGTAGATTTTTTTAAGCTAGCACAATTGTTAAAAAAAACTGGGTTTACATTCACAAAAGTACGTATTTTTTATAGAAATTTGGGTTTCTTGATCAGCCAGGTTGGAGTTTGGCTCCATCCTTTGAAAAACAGGCTTGGATGTTATAGAATAGATCTTTGTGAGTTCATACGTGATGGTAGATTTTTTTTCATGACAAGCTGGATTTCGGTTCAATCGTTTGAAATTTGTGCTTGGATTTTATAGAATGGAACTTGCTGAATACCGGAAGGACGAACCTGGTTAATATTCACAAAGAAGGTATTTTCATAGAAAATTGATTGTTCTGTTTTGCTGAACTGAATTTTGGCTCCTATCTTTGAAAAATAGGCTTGTATTTTATAGAATAGAAGTTGCTGAATCCATACGTGAGGGTTGAATTTCTTAAATTTTTGAGAATACCGAGTTTAAATTCACAAAAGTACGTATTTTAATAAAAACTTTGATTTTCTGTTCCGTCAAGTTGAATTTCGGCTCCGATCTTTGAAAATAGACTTGGATTCTATAGAATGGACCTTGCTTATCCGTGATGGTACATTTTTTAAAGCATGCACAATTTTTTAGAAAACTGTGTTTGAATTCTCAAAAGTACGTATTTTTATAGAAGTTTGGCCAGCCAAGTTGAATTTTGCTCCTTCCCTTGAAAAAAAAGGCGTGGATTTTACAGAATTGCTGAATCCATACGTATTTTCAGAGAAAATTTGGTTTTTTGGTTCTGCTAAATTGCATTTCGCCTCATATATTTGAAAAATAGGCTTGTATTTTATAGAATGGACCTTACTGAATCCATAGCGTGAAGATTAAACCATAGAGGTAACTCTAAGACTAGTAGGTCCCGAAGAAACGTGCTCAACTTTTTGACTCAGCTCTGGTACTATCTTCGGTCCCAAGCTAATCGATTCACCCCTCGAAACATAGGAAAATTCAGTAATCCCTCATTTTATCTGTCAAACTTTCATAGTGAATCAAAACAAACATTGTGTAGTACTAGAATTTTGACTAGAATGGGGTACGTTAATCGTTTGCTTGGGACCAATAGGCTAGTCAAGTAGTGAGCCAATTTAAAATCGCTAGTTTCGTATTGATTGTTGGTTAAACCGGGTTTGTAATTCGAAAAGTTTTGTTTCTTCGAAATTTGGTTTTCCTTTTCTACTAAGTTGGATTTTGATACTGTCGTTTGAAAGTTATGCTTAGATTTTATAGAATTGACCTTGCTGAATTCATATGTGATGATTATTTTTTTAAGCACACACAAAGCCAGGTGTAAATTGATAAAACTACGTATTTTTGTTAAAATTTGGTTTTTATGTTCAGCCAAGATGGATTTTGGCCCCTTCATTTGAATATTACGCTTGGGTTTTGTTGAATAGACTTTCCTGATTCCATACGTCTAGCTAGATTTTCTGAAGCACGCACAATTGTTGAGAAAACTGAGTTATATTTGGATAGGGAGGAACTATCGAAAACAGAACTTTTTTATAAGAACTGTGACTTTTGTGGTATTCCGCTTGATGGTTTATCCGGAATTTATCAATATCGAAAAATCAATTGCTTTGACCCTATTTATCTACATTATAACCAATGATCTTCCTAGAAAGGATACATGCGCGAAATTTCTTGTTGATAACCCGAGTGTTACACATAATAAAGTCAACATTTGTGGCATTTGTGTCAAAAATCACGGCTGTATAAGGCTAAAGCGAAGGTTAAGAAAAAATGTTAGCATTTGAAATATAGGGTTTAGATGTAATGTAAAACGAATTTTAAATGTTTTTGACGTAGGACTACGTCTGTGATTTCTGTATGGAGGTACACTTTGTGAAAACTGAAAATGGAACATGTAACAAAATTATGAAAGATTTTGAACATTAATAACTCAGCTGCCCCTGGACCAATTTCAATAATTTCGCCAATCGATCAGAAATATTTCCACGCATCAATAGCAAAGCTTCCGACTAATGATTTTCATCAAGAAACTATTGAAAAAGTGGTAATGTCAAACATTGTCCAATGCACAAATAAAAAGTGATAATTTTATAACTGTTTTCATGAAATAAACGTTCTTCCCAAACCCAGTCGTCATTTTTCGAGTACCACTCGAGCACATCGTTCTGCTTTAACCTGAAAAATTATAAAAGAGCACTGCTGTCTAGCCTCAACTCATTTTCGCTTCGGACGGCGTAGTCTGCAAGCAGCAGAAGCAGCAATAGCAGCAGTAAGAAGATGGTGGCAGGATAGGTAGTCCACTCTTCTACCCAACAAGCAACAATGACTGGTCGTGGCAAAGGAGGAAAAGGTCGTATCTCCGGTTTGATCTACGAGGAGTGCTAAAGGTGTTCTGGAAAATGTGATCCGTGATGCTGTCACCTACTCTGAACACACCAAGCGTAAGCGGCCATGGATGTCGTCTACGCTTTGAAGCGACAGACGCACTCTATACGGTTTCGGAGGTTAAATCATCACCAACTTTGGCAACAGGGCCAACATGCTTATTGAAGTAAAGAGTTGGAATAGAATTTATCTGTGCCTGTTTTTCTATATTCAGAACCATACTACCACACAAAATGCTCTCCAGTGTTGTAATCTTGTATCCAAACTTTGAAGCAGGGGTGCAAGTGATTTTGATCGCAAACTACGCAAAAGGAGAGTGTCGCTACTTGATAGCAAACTAGTAATGATGGGAGGAGTCTGTGTTGCTTACCGTCGTGTGCATAAAGAAAGGTAATCGAAATTTAATTTTGTGATTGTTTCCCAAACACCGAAATCATATTGAAACACTATCGTGATTATGCATTGTAGCATTCTCTGTAAAGTATAATTGGTACAGTAAGTGCTTCAGTGTTTATACTCTGCGTTGGATAGACTCAGTATTCGAAGTGAAACAAGTGTTTGTTGAGAAATTCTGTAAACAAATTCAAAATGTACTACTATACTACTAAATGGCTGCTAAATATCTCCGCGATTATCGGAAGCGTGTGAGAGATCAGGAGGCAGGGAAACCTGCGGAACAGACGCGGACCATTGCTGAACGCGTTCGAATGTGTCGAGCCAACAAGAAAGCGGCCAAAGGTAGTCCTAATTTTGAGATTTATTCAATAACCGCCCATTTTCAAAAATTTGAATAATGAGTTGTTCATTTTGGAGTTAAGTTTCTATACCATTTATTTTGTTATTAATATATAAGTGAATGGAGCATCAAAAAGAATCTCGTAGTTCTACGTCAACAATGCGGTCGTGCTTTGGACACAACCATTAACATTTTTTGTTTGTTTATTTTTTATTAGCCCCCCCCCCCCTCGACTGGTGCAAGCATCGAGTGACAAAAGAAAAATTTGTGATTTGTTCCGGCCTTACTAAAGAGAGAATCATTAAATTATTGAAGGGTCTGAATAGATAGTTGAATATTATAAATGATGATTCTGTCGAAATTGACGCATTCGTTGTACCGCCATATGGAATATGTATTAATCCTAAACGAAACATTCACTTACCATCCGGCAGTTCGTATAACTTTTTTGGCAACGGTGCAAAGTACGGATGTCGCAGTGCCTCTTCAGCACTTATCCGGTTGTCCGGGTTCAGCTGTAGGAAAGCACTAGCCATCATCTCACCTTCGATAATATCGTACAGGCGGGGGAAACTTAAACCTAGCTTTCGGGCCTTGAAGAAACCTGCGGAAATTGATTAATGCGTCATTGCAGATTACGGTTTTTCCAGTAGTTCATCTCATCTTACCTAGCATATGTAGCTTATAACCTGGTAAATGCGTTACGCCCGGCCACGAATCCTCCGTAGGGGTGCCGAGGATTTTAAAGATCTTGTCCAGCTGATCGTACGTATCCCGGATACCGGGGAACGTTGGCATGCCGGTGATCATTTCCACAAATATACACCCGACACCCCACATGTCGAGCGAGGTCGAATACTCGGTGCTACCTAGCAGTACATCTGCGAAGAAATCATATGGAAAATCATTACAAATCTGTTTCGACGAGCAATATAGAGTAAGCAGCCGTTCACCTGGAGGTCGATACCACAGCGTGACAACCTCGTGCGAGTAAGTATGACTTGGAACACTCTTAGCCCGGGCTAGCCCGAAGTCGGCCAGTTTCAGTTCGCCCATTTCGCTGATGAGCAGGTTCTGCGGTTTCACGTCCCGGTGCAGAACTCGTCGCTTATGGCAATAGGAAAGCCCCCGCAGCAGCTGAAATAGGAACAACCGCACGTTCCGATGATCCAGTCCACCCGGATGCCGTTCCATGTACTGCGAGAGGTCGGTATTCTGTCAGGAAGAAAAGCAGAGAAGGGCAAATTACAATCACTAATTCAATTGCAAGCTGATACCGACCAGGCAGGAAACGTGCCGTGAAAGAACATAAATTACAACCGCTTCCCATGTGGAAACCCCGAAGAAGCTTGTTCTAATTATTAATTAAATTCAGTAAATCGTGCTTATGGCTTTGCTGGCAATAAAGTTCGGTAAACGAGCCTTCTCGATTACCGTATGCTCTAATCTCAATGAAATTGATTGCATAACATTGTTACACTAAATTTTCTCAGTCAACTTGCGTAAATCAGGATAGATAAAACATAGCTTTTTGTCGAGTTTAGAAACCATTTCTTTTTCCAACCAACACTCCCTTTTCAGCTCTCCACGTACGCCTTATGAATAAGGTATAATAACGAAGTGTGTTACTCGGTAAAGATCCCACCTCCCCAATATTTTCACAAATCTTCGTCTTCTCTGCAGCACCATAAGCATACAATCTTGCAATTGTTGTTCCATGCGACTGTTACAGCTGTTGTTGGTTAAGTCGAGTTTTGCTGTAATTTATGTGTTTTCACCACTCTCACCACGGCACCATCCCACCTCTGGAATCACCTGTTCCGAGGCTCAATTCCCTCAAACCTGTCCGTTACTGTGCAGAAAGCTCCAGAAGTAGAGCATCTCGCACTGCTACGAGTGCGAAGAACCGACAAACATCCGGTATCATCATCATGCCATTAGGCGCACTTCCCCCGTATAGATAGTCACTGTTTCTAACGCTCAAGGAGCCATGAATCATTTCACAGTAGGTACACGGCAAAGGGATGGGAAAGTGAAATTCGTAGCCTAGATTTCCTTCCCCATTTGGTATGATTCGCTTAGGTTCAGCCCCATAAAACCGATGTGCGAAAATCCAGGACACCGCAGAGCAATTGAGTTCTTGTAGCTAACACTACACAGTCACTACATACCTAGGTAACTACGTAGAGCAGAATAAGAAATTTCCCAACGACCGCACACTCACACACAACGAGAGCGAGAGGCAATAAATCAAATTGAAGTGGAAAATTGATACTACCACGATGAACCAGGTGCGTGTGGGAAACCGCTTTCCCCAATGCAAGGGAGGATTCATGCCGGAAATCCGAGGTTAGAAACTTTGTTCTTCGATTGCTTTTATGCTTACTACTTTGTTACTGTGGGCCAGCTCTGTTGTAAAATTCATGACGGGATATGCGTTTGTTTTATGTGGGCCTTTTATTCGGTTTCGATAGGGGGGAAGCTTTATTACTCAAGGGGCCATAAATAAGGGGTGGTTTGATACGTCTTTTAGCTGGTCTGTCGGATTCTAGCAAAGCTTTTGAAGAACTGGAATACGTTTACATGATTGAGTAGATCCTTGTTCAGTTCCCCATTCACTGGCAAAGGGGCAACTGTTGAAATAAAGTAGATTGACAGTAGATAAAATTGAATCTAAAGTGGAGCAATGATTAATGCCTTTATTTTCCAAGCAAGGCCAGAAAATATATTGTTTTTCGTTCACGGTTGCGCTGGGAGTGGATTATTTCCGATGTCATCCAAAGACACGAGGTGATAAATTGAACGAGCATGTTGTGAAATACTGAAAACCGATTTTAAAATTGCTCTGTCCAGAGAACATTTAATGTTATTTAATGTTTAATGGTCTCACCAAAGAGTGTAATAAATTTAAGTCTATTTCGCAAGCTACGCTTCCGCTAATATTTGAACTCTAGAAGTTTCGTGATGCCGAAAGCTTGGGCAGTACCGGTACATACCGAATTTTTAAATATGCGATTTTGGTAGGTTAGCACTTCAAATGCTCTTGGAGTTCTGGGAATTCCGACAGTTTTGAAAGATTCTTGATGTCCCATGAGTTACTAAATATTTCAGAATTCTGAGAGTGCTTGGATTTCCTGGAGCTCCTGGAGATAGAAAGTTCTAAACATTAGTACCAATAGAGTACCTGAGTTATTTAGAGTTCTAAGAGTTTCTACAGTGCTGGAAGGTCCTGGGTTTCTGAGAGTTCTTGGTTTTCTGAATGAAGTTTTGGTCGTAAAGAACCAAAATTTTCAAAAATTCAAATGTTGCTCTTCCAGGGTTGGAGCTATCAATGCTGTCAAAAATAGTGATTTTAATGACCATGTTGAAGAAATAAGTGACCAAATAAAGGGTGATACGGTCAAAATTTGGTCAAGGGAAAACGCGTGTAAATCGGTGAAAGCGTTTATTTAAAAAATCAAATTAAATTTCTTTTTCAAGTTCAATTAGTATAAAATTCAGGAAAAATATTCAGTTAGGCTTCCGCTTTTCCAAATCCAAATTGCCGGGCCTTACGCTTGACCCCTGCCATCAGATTTTGTACAGCCACCTTGTCCACCTTCTTCGCCGCAGAAAGCCAGTTTGCCTTGAACTGCTGCTCGCCCTTAGCAGTTTTTTGGTCTTCTTTAGGTTCCGCTTGACAATAGCCCAGTATTTCTTAATTGGGCGGAGCTCTGGCGTGTTGGGAGGGTTCTTGTCCTTGGGAACCACCTGCACGTTGTTGGCGGCGTACCACTCCATGGCCTTTTTACCGTAATGGCAAGATGCCAAATCCGGCCAAAACAGTATGGAACTACCGTGTTTCTTCAGGAAAGGCAGCAGACGTTTATTCAAACACTCTTTCACGTAAATTTCTTGGTTGACAGTCCCGGAAGCTATGAAAATGCTGCTTTTCAAGCCACAGGTACAGATGGCTTGCCAAACCAGATATTTCTTTGCGAACTTTGACAGTTTCATGTGCTTGAAAACATCTGCTACCTTTCCCCTTCCTTTTGCCGTATAAAACTCCTGTCCCGGAAGCTGCTTGTAGTCGGCTTTGACGTAGGTTTCGTCGTCCATTACCACGCAGTCAAACTTCGTCAGCATCGTCGTGTACAGCCTCCGGGATCGCGCTTTGGCCGTCGTATTTTGTTTATCATCGCGATTTGGAGTCACTACCTTCTTGTAAGTCGATAGTCCGGCTCGTTTTTTGGCTCGATGCACGGTTGTAAACGATACACCCAGCTTATTTGCGGCATCTCGGAGAGAGAGGTTAGGGTTTCGCTTGAAACTACCGGTAACTCTCTTTGTCGTCTCAGCGTCTTCCGGTTTTCGATTTCCCCCCGATCCAGACTTCCTGGCTGTCGACAAACGTTCCCCAAACACTTTAATTACATTTGTAACGGTTGATTTGGCAACTTTTAGCGATTTTGCCAACTTTGCGTGCGAGTAGCTCGGATTTTCGCGATGCGCGAGCAAAATTTTGATACGCTGCTCTTCTTGCTTGGACGGCATTTTGACAACTGAAGAGTGAATTCCAAAATAAAAATAGGAGCAACATTCTACACACACACACCTTCAAAATGAGGGGTGTTCAGGTTTTTTAAATGCAAAATTGAAAGAAATACGTCAAGTTGATATTGGCCAAATTTTGACCGTATCACCCTTTAGTGACGTAAAGTTGTAAAAAAGTGACTAAAACGTGACCTGAGAAAAGAAAAACTGTCGTTCTGATGATACACTATCATGGTGTTTTAGACTTATTCAATTAGTACCTCATAAACACTTATGTACGACATGAACCAAAATATATAACAATAGTGATATGACGAGCAACTCAACAGTGATGCAGAAGAAAACGAAGGTGACACGGCAACAGACCTGCAAGCACGCACAGAAGACGACAGGCTACCGGCCCCTGATCTTCAATAAGTTGAGGTTGAGATCAGTCAGCTGAAAAACAACTAAGTTGGTGTAGATCAACTACTTAGTAAGCTATTAAAATACGGTGGCTCTAGCACAGGCTAGAGTGCTACACTGGGTAATTGCCAAGATTTGGGAGGAGGAGATATTACCAGAGGAATGGATGGAAGGTGTCGTATGCCCAATCTACAAAAAGGGCGACAAGTTGGATTGCTGCAACTACCACGCGATCACACTGCTGAGCGCCGCTTACAATGTACTCTCCCAAATTCTATGCCGCGCCTGTCACCATTTGCAAGGGAGTTCGTGGGGGAAATACCAGACAGGAGTCATGGGTGCCCGCGCTACCATGGACCAAATTTTTGCGATTCGGCAGGTTCTGCAGAAATGCTGCTAATACAACGTGCCCACACATCATTTGTTCGTCGATTTCAAATCCGCATACGAGACAATAGATCGAGATCAGCTATGGCAGATTATACACGAATACGGATTTCTGGATAAACTAACGCGGTTGTTCGAGTATCGGGGACACTCTAAAGTCTTGAAGGAGGTTACGGCATGGATTTTCGTGTCTGCTATTTAACATCGCGTTAGAAGGTGTGATAAGAAGAACTGAGATAGACACGAGTGGCACGATCTTCAGGAAGTCCATCCAGCTTTGTTGGCTTCGCCGAAAACATCGACATCATGGCACGGATTTTTGAGACGATGGCAGAAACGTACATCAGACTGAAGGCTGAAACGAGGCGAATTGAACTCTCCATCAACACATCGAAGATGAAATACATGAGAGGAAGAGGTTTTAGGGAAGACAATGTTGGCCTCCCACCGCGAGTTTAGATTGACGGTGACGAAATCGAGGTGGTCGATGAGTTCGTGTATTGGGGCTCACTGGTGACCGCTGAAAATGATACCAGCAGAAAAATTCAAAGACGCATTATGGCAGGGAATTCTGCACACTTGGGACTTCGGAGGACGCTCCGTTCGAATAAAATTCACCGCCACACGAAGTTGACCATCTACAAGACGCTGATTAGACCGGTGGTTCTCTACGGCCACGATACCTGGACTATGCTCGTGGAGGGCCAACGCGTGTTGCGGACAATCTACGGTGGAGTGCAGATGAATGACGTGGAGGAGGCGAATGAACCACGAATTGCACTAGCTGCTGGGAGAACCATCCATCGTCCATTTTGCAAAAATTGGGCGACTACGGTGGGCTGGTCAAGTCGTAAGAATGCCGGACGACGACCCAGTGAAAATGGTTTTCG